CCCGCCGCCTGCTCCTCCTCACCTTCGGCCGCCCCGCGCCCCCGCCCTGCGCCCCCCCGCCCGCGGCCAGCGCGCGGCGGCGCGCGAACAAGCGGCGCGCGGCCTGGGGGGCGCCCCTAGGAATTCCAGACAGCGCCAGATCAGCGCCGGGTGCGGGGCGGCGGGAGCGGATGGTGGTGGCGATGCTGCCGCCCAGCCATCTGATAAGGTCCCGGGTGTCCCCGTGGGCGTATAGGTTCTGCGCAATGAGACGTTTCGACGCGACTGGCGGTCAATGGACGTTGAGAATCAGGTTTGATGGGCGTCGCCTCATAACATAAGTGTTCGTACCCTACTGGTCGATCCCCCACAAATGTTGTGATGGAGCCAACAACAGCAACACAAGCAAAGTCCAAAACGTGAGCTGCAGGAGAAAAAGTATGGAGCCTGAACCTTGGACCCTGGATCCTGAAACTTGAACCCTAAACCCCATCACCTCCACGACTATGGGGCAGGACTGTACGAGGTCAACCAGCGCCCGGGGGCCGCCAGGCAGGCGCTTGCGCTCGTCCAGCTGGCCCAGGGCCACCTGGGAGTGTATAGATGATGTGGCGGATGGCATGCGATGTGTAATGAGTGTGTGTGTGTGTGTGTGTGTGTGTGTGTGTGTGCGCGAGAGAGAAAGCGAGAGAGAGAAAGAGAGAGAGAGAGAGAGAGAGAGAGAGAGAGCGATCAGATTGCAAAGGAAGTCTGTATATGTGCTCGCACACAGTCTTTGCAACTCGGCTTTGCGTGTTGGATGCGCTCGCGCCATCAACGGACCACATGCGTGCACGCCCTGAACCTGCAACATGGAGGATCCAACCCATCAGCTGGATCTCAGAGGGCAGGGCGCCTAGCGTAGAGGAGCCGGCTTTACCCTTCTACACTAATGCACCCTGACTGCTGCAAACAACACAAGGAAAGAGCCACATGCATCCTAAGAAAACAGATCCGCATGCACCCAGAGTCGAACCCGTGTCCCTGCCAACGCAAGACGGTCGGCGCGCACCGCCGTGAGGGCGGCCCTGTAGCCGCTGAGCAGGTGGTGGAGGGGGTTTGACCCCAGGGGCGTCTGGATGAGGGAGGACTCAAAGGGGGTGGGGCGCACAACGAGGTCACCTGCGGGTGGCGGCGCGGCCCCCAAAAGGGCAAGCCAGGGTGGAGGTGGTGGGCCAAAGGTGGAAGGGGTTGGGGTGTCAGCGGGCGCGCGGGCGGGCAGTGAGGGGGCGGGGAGTTGCCTGGGGGTCAGGGGTCCGGTGGACAGCGCATCGGCCGCTGCGGTGGCTTGGTGCGGTGGGTTTTTTGGGAGGGGTATGACGATTCTTGGGCCTCTCCTGGATACAGATGATCTAACGACATCAAGTTTGAAAAAAAGGGGCGATTGCAATTTGGGACCGCCGAACCCGACAACTTCCAGGCGGTATGGCGGCGGGCAGCTTGGGTGACGTACTGCATTCGGCAGCTTCTCTGGTTGCAGCGGACGGGCAAGTGGGCGCCGCCCGGGGGGTGGCACACGCACGCGCGGGGGCCCACACCCACCCGCCCTGTTGACTATGACGCGGTGCCCGTTGCGCTTGTACAGCGTCAGGAACTTCCCGCCCCGCGGCACGACGTCCTGGTCGTTGATGACGTGCCTGTGACGTCATCGTCGAGGATGGATGGTTTCCAAGGGTTCAGGGTTTGGGTTTGGGTTTCGGAGTGCAGGCTTCAGGCTCCAGGCTTCGGGAGGGTTTTGCGGGACAGACCCGGCCGCTGTGTTGTTTGGTCATCGCGTTGGAGGAGACAATGTGACAACAGTGCTGCTTGTGTATAAAAAAACCCAAGGTCCGAGGCAGAAAACGTCTCTTGATGGCATGCGGGCCGCTTGTCGGGACAGCCGGGCGCTAGGCTACGCGCGCTGGCGCCCGGCCCGCAGCCAACCGCACGCGCCGGCAGGCACTGGCTGCGCAGCCGGCGACGCAAACGGGAGGGAAGGCGGCGGAGGTGGGGCGACGGCGGCGGGGCCCTAACATGTGTCGGGCGCCGTCCGGCCGGCGGCAGCCGCGGCGGCTGTAGTAACACCCACCAGGTGTCTGGCACCGTGCGGCCGTAGTCTTGAGCGAAGGCGTGGTTGCCGGTGCGCGGTGCGCCGAAGCCGTACACCTTGACCTGCGGTTGAGTCATGATGAGTCATATGATGGATGAGATTAGTCAAGTGACACGCATGAGTCGTTGCCACAAAGGTGCGTCTGGGGAGGCGGGGGGGGGGGTTTGAAAGGGTTCAAAGCATGAAAGGGCAAGACGGCGTGAGGCAGCGCCGCTCACGTGCGCGAGGAGGGCTGAGTTGGTGCAGGACCAGCACTGGCAGGCTGCCCCGGCCACGCGAAAGACCAAAGAAAGAAACGCCCTGCACAAACAGCAGATAGAGCGGCCCGTGCCGCGCTTCTGGTACCAAAAACACAGGTGGGTCTGACCTACCCGGGACCTCCAATTGCCCTCACCTCCCCTCCAAAAACACGGAGCGACCAACCCCTTCCGGCCCGTCGCATCTGACCTGGCCTCGGCGCCCCTGTCTCCCCTCCCCCTCTCGCCGCCTGTCCCCCTCCCCACCTGATCTCTTCTCAGCCTCCCGCCCTCTCCACCATACTTTTTCAGAAGTTCGTACCCGCAGAGGGTGGCCAGGGAGCCGCCCAGGGAGTGGCCTGGTTTCGGATCGGGGAGTTGGGCGCGAATGGGCGCGAAACACAGGGATCGGAGGTGAGGCCCGCACGCCGGCGCGGGCCTGAGCGCGGGCCCCGGCTGCTTCGCAGCGGTCGCTGCGAGGCGTGAGGCGGAGCAAGCTATGGCTGGGGTTGCGCGGGGCGAGTGAGGGCCGGCGGCCGGCCACGCGCAGCGTGCCCAGTGCGCATGCTGGCCCCGTTTCTCTGGAGCCGAATCACTGAATCACCAGAGGGAGCTACGAGAGGTGTGATTCCAGGACTAATCCCAGCAACGGTTGGATCACAACTCAAATCGCAGCAAGGGTCGGACCGCGTTGGTGGCAATCACAGCAACCACGCAGCCATAAGTTGATTGAAGCCCGTCAAAGCGTCCAAAGGTACTCGCCCGCGCACCCCCGACCCTTGTCCGCGAGCCCAAGTCCACCTGTGAGGTAGATGGTGAGCCGCTCTGGCGCCAGGCTGTTGTCCACCAGAGAAGACAGCATCGCCATCACGCGCCTGCGCCGGACGAGCGGCCCATCAGAGGTTGACAGAGGGGCGAGCAGCGGTCGGTGTTCGAGGTTTCGAGGGTCCACAAATCAGTTTGGCGGTTGGTCGACCTCGGTCCCCGGCCGGCCGTTCGAGCCGACCTAAACCCGCAACCCCAAAGGCCAGCGTTCAAAGTCGATTTTCGGCTTTCCACTTGTATCGAGCACAGCAGTGCCCTGCGGTCTGCACAGGGTTTAGGATCTGTGCCGCGCGGTAAGCCAAGCACGAGCACGAGCACGAGCACGAGCCGCATTCGGCGTGCATTGGGTCGTCAAACAATCAGGGGGATGCTGCCAACCCACCTGTCTAGGCCAGAGCGTGACCTCCAACACCTGCGGAGCGGCCGGCCGGCGGTTGGGTGCATGTGCGTGGGTTGAGCGTTGGAGCGTGCGGGACAGCATCTAATTGCATGATTGGGCGGGCAGCGGCGGTGGGTGGCCGACGGGGCCAAAGGAGTGTGCACTTGCACACATAGGGCCCGGCGACAGCGACGTCCAGCGCTGCCGCAGCCAGGCGTCGGCACGGGCGCTCAACATGCAATATCGCACCGAACGCCGGACGGCGGCGCAGGCAGGCGGGTAGCGGGGTGAGCAAGGCAGGGGTCGCACCGAGGAAGGCGCAGGGGGAACAGGGCCGGCTGCAAGGTCGTTCGATGAATTTGAGTCAATGAAAGTATGCATTTAATTGACGAGTTTCACTTTTGCTTCGTATAATTGCATCCATTGCGCACCTCATGAAGCCTGAGTGGACCTTGGGCTGCCGCCGCAGCCAGGGGCGCCACCACCCAGCCGCCGTCTGCACCGCCTCGTGCGCGCCCTGCGCGGTCACCGCCACGCGCCAGAACTGCCAAAGGCGCCGGCCGGGGTCGAGTCGGGGGAGGCGGGGCGGGGCGGGCATCAATAGGGGTGGATCCGGCGGCTGTGTTGCATGTCTTGGGCGTCAGTGAGTGGGGTGGGCGTCGGCGGCGCCGCTGGTGTTGGCAACAATGCCTTGTACACGCAAAATTTTGGTGCAACCACACTGAGTGTTGCCCCGTTTGCATTTGTACAGTCCTGTGTGACAAGCGCGTGCAGCGAACACCCAAGTTGCCATGCAGCAAAAAGCCCAAGATCGTTTCTCTTCTTATGTCCGACCCACAAAGAGATCCATCAGCCAATTGAGGGGCGCTGCGGATCCCCTGCAATCGGCAGCAAAGGGGTGGATAAGATGGGCGGCAGGTTGATTGAATAGGCGAAACAACAGCCACTCTCAACTTGAGGCTCCTGACCGCTCCCAATGTGCATCTCACGCAGCCGCCGCAAATCAAGTTGAGTGTATTAAAGCAGACGCCACGCCCAGCGGCGGACGAGCAGGCGAGCCCCAAGACCAGTTTCGCAAGCCGCGGAACGACAGTCAAGCCTGGTCAAACTTGGTCAAAGCATGTCATAACAGCGGCGGTCGTGAGCGGCGAGCCCGTGCGCCTGAAGCTGACGACCACTGTGTCGTTGCTCCAGGAGAACAGCGCCTTGACATGGCTGACTGGGTCGTACACGATCTGCATCGGAAGTCGGGGGGTCAAAGATGCAGGGTTTCAGATCCAGCAATTCAACGCCAATCACGTACGCATACAGCCAAACCCACCACCCACCCACCCCCACACACAAACATACATGCGCGCGTGCGCGCACACACACACACACCTTGTGCACCGTGAGCCCATATAGTGCCATCCCTTTTGCTAGCTGCTCCAACACCGTCTCCGCCAGCGAGGCCGCCGCCGCCGCCGCCGCGGGCGCGCCCGGCGCCGCGCCGTCCTCCGCCACCCCGGCCCCGCCCCCGCCGGCCGCGGTCGCGCTCGCGCTCGCGCTCCGACTGCCGCGGGGCTCCGGCGGCTTGGGCTGCTGCTGGCCGTTCTCTGGGGCGTCGGCCGCGAAGCGGTCGTGCTGCGAGGGGCGACAGAAAACAGCTGTTTGAGTTAGGGTGGTGAGGTTTACCCTCAACACGTTGAGGGTTTAGGGAGCAGCTTGGCTCACTGCCGCAGGGGCGCTGGACCAGTGCGCCCCTGCCGGCATGAGGCGGGCCGCCGTTCTGGACACGCGGGGGACCGAATGTCGAGGGCGGCGCGCTCGTGCGCCGGCGTACGAGCGCATGTGAGCACGCCGGCTCGTGGCCCCCGCGGCGGCGCGGCGTCGTGCGGAGCCTCAAACGACGACCTCAAACGTAAGCAGGTGCATTCGGAGCTCGACGACCGTCAAGATGCGCGTTCAAACTCAACACCCCTCGAGAACCTCAACCCTCAACCCTGAAACCGAAGGCCCGCTCACGTCTCCAAAGTCTTCGTAGGTCAGACAGGACCAAAAAAACAGCTTGGCAGCGGTTTCGAAGCAGAACATGGGCTCGTTGCGCGTGCGGCCGCCCGCGGCGGTGTCTCGCTCCTGGGGGGGAGGGGAGGCATGTGCATCCTGCCAAGTTGAGTAGTAATGGGGATGGGTTTTGCGATTCAAACATTCGAGCGTTGAAAGTTTGATGCGCCTTGACCGCAGGGGGGAGGGGCGCGAGGTGCTTCCTTTTGTGCCGGTGACGCGGCCCCGCTCGAAGCGCGGGGGAGGAGCGGACAGGTGTCGGCCTGCTCACACATGAGCGTGGCGCGCCGTCCGCCTGCCAACACAAACAACGGCAGGCGCGCCTGAAAACGACAAAAGGTGGGTTGTGTGGGAGACAGCACCCTCCCTGCCCCTTGCACGCCTCGACAATGACGTTGAAGCTCAAAACTCCAGCATTTGGCAGCCAAGAATTGGTGACTCCTCAATTTCAAACCAAACAGACGCAGGAACGACGTCCCCTGCAGCGCCCCCACCGCCCCCACCTCTTTTCGCCGCGACAGCTCGCCCTCGGTCCAGGCGAAATCCTGCAGCTGCGCCATCAGCAGCGGGCTCTCCGCCACGTGCCGGCTGGCGCCGGTGCCGCCCTCGCTTTTGCCGCCGCGCCGCCGCCGCCGGGGCGGGGGCGCCGGCACAACCAGTGCGGCGCCGACAACAGCCACACTGACCCACATGAGCTTTAGTCATGAAGGTGCGGTCAGAAAATAAGGCGAGCAGCGTGGGTCTGCCGGCGTCGCGGTGGGTGTGGTGCTTGGCATGCGCCCGACCGGCCCGACTCGGGCTAACACTATCTTCAAGGATCCCAGCCCCTCGGCCCCCCACCCCGCAGCCCCCCTACCTTGCTGCCCTCTCAGCGGCCGGCCGCAATGCCGTCTCCCACCCCTGCCCTCGGAACACCCAACTCCCACTGACCACGGTTTGATCGAACCCCTCAGAAATCATGGCCCATCATTTGCCTCACCTCGATCGGCGGTAGGCCGAAGTACTGGGCTGAAAACCGGCTGCAGTCGCCGAAATCGATGAACCAGAACACAACAATTGATATGACCACCAAGGTGAACGCCCAGAGTCCCAGCAGCCGCTGCGCATGGCCGGGTCGTCAAAGAGGCGCCAGGGCGGCGGGGAGGGGGGGGGGAGGAGCGTGGAGGGGGTAGGACGGCGACAGGAGGGTTGAGGAGGGGGGTGAGGGCGCACCTTTTGGGGCGGCGGGGGTTTCGAGGACTCAGGCGCGGCGTAGTGCTTGGGGATATGCGCGGTCTCTGCATGTGCTCGGCGCAACCTGTCCCCCGCGAAGGCAAAAGCACTTTGACGCATGCGGGGCAGCAAACAAACGTTGGCGGGCGTGACGACTGCACTTGGAACTCATCATCGATTCGCCGCGCCTTTCGCATTTCCTTTTAGACTGTCCAACCCACCTCCATCCTCAATTGGGTGTTGGCCATCCGGAACTGCGGCAGAAGCAATGCAAGCGCCCACATATACTGGTCAGGTCGGGGTGCTTAATCCTGAAGATGAGGCTGGTAGCCCAACACACAAGTCCTTCCTACAGCCCAGGGGTGCTATCGCAGACCCCTCTCTCTCTCATCCACACACACACGCGCCCGCGCGCGCGCGCACACACACACACACACACACACACACACACACACACACCTCGTGCACAGCCATGTGTTGATGCCCCATCCATCACGCCCAGCCAGGCATCCCCGCCAGAAAGGGCATGAAGGTGCTACACGTACACGCACGCACGCCGGCCTGCCCCACAGGCGCGACGGCTCGCGGCGGCGCGCCACACGCGGCGGGGCGCACCTGCTGCCACGGCCGCGTCCGCAGCAGCCGCGCCGAGCGCCACATCAGCGCCAGCCAGGTGGCGTAGTACAGCAGCGTCAGGACCAGCAGCGCAGCCAGCAGGCCGGATATCGCGGGGGTGGGCGCTTTGGGGCGGAGGGCGCAGCTGGGGGCCAGGAAGGAGGCGCCGGGGCCTGCGAGAGAGGTGCGAGTGGGTGTTCAGGGTTCAGGCTTCAGGTTGAGGGTATACGCCCTCACCCTAGGACCTGCAGCAGGCGGGGGAGGTTGGCTGTTTCATCAATAACTGTAATCGCCATTCATCGGACCTCTGGAAGGGTCTCTGCACGTCCTCGAAACATCGCGCCAAGCCTGCCTCTACAACTGCCGACTGCAAATGCGGCCGGGATGACAACAAATGCTCAAGGCAGGGCATCTGCCGGCCGATGTGCGCTGCAGCAGCCCGCGCGTAAGATTACTTCCACTGGAGGAAGCGGGATGCGCAGTCCGCACGGCTGTGCCACCAAGGCGGAAGGCGAGCACGCGGCATCACACTCGCACGACGGGGGGGTCTTTTGCGGAGCAAATCGCAGCATCCATTCGCACCGTCCTGGATCGACCCCTGTTGATCCAGGAACGACAGGAGGGCCAGGCAGGCCTCAAAGGGTATGAAAAGTACCAGCTTTGGCCAGTGGGTCCAGAAGGGGAGGTCCAGCACCTGGTGGGGGTTCAAGGTTTTGGGTGGGCAGTGAGATTAACATGAAGATTGAAAGGTGGAGGGAGGAGGAGCGGGCAGTGAGATGAAGATGAAGATGAAGATGAAGATGGAAAGGCGGAGGGAGGGAGGGAGG